ACTGTTGTTTTAGTGCCATTAAAGGGATAGTTCACCCAAAAATGAAAATTAGCCGATGATTTACTCGCCCTCCAGCCATCCTAGGTGTACATGACCTTTTTCTTTCAGACGAATCCAATCGAAGTTATATAAAAAAATATCCTGGCTCTTCCAAGCTTTATAATGGCAGTGAATGGGTGTTATTTTTCAATAGTCCAAAAGAAGTCCAATAAAGTGCATCCATCCATCATAAAAAGTGTCTCACACGGCTCCGGGGGGTGAATAGAGGCCTCCTGAAGCGAATCGATGTGTTTGTGTAAGAAACATATCCATATTTAAAACTTTATAAACCATAATCTCTAGCTTCCGCTAACTGTCGTACGCGCGTTCATTCCGGCGGATGACGTAAGCGTAGCGTAAGCTCTGGTGAGAATATGCTCGTCTCGCGAGAACCGACGTTTGTTTACAGGAGCAAAGGAAGCAAAATTTCCTCACTTTAGCAAAGTCTCCTCTCGGCTTATATCGAAATCCTCCCACATTTTTCTTTACAAATCCTCGTTTTGTGCTTTATTGGACTTCTTTTGGACTATTAAAAAAATAACACCCATTCACTGCCATTATAAAGCTCGGAAGAGCCACATTTTTAAATATAACTCAGATTGGATTCGTTTCGATTTCTGTTTTATATTTTCTCTTATATTTATGTTATATTCTGTTTTTTTATTTTCCTATTTTAATTTCAGTGAAAGTTTTAGTAATTATGAACAGAAGCTGGAAGATCATCATAAACACATGAATGATGACGGTACACACAGTGAACAATAACGTCTTTATGCGTCGTCTCTGAAGGGCCCCGGGCCCCAGATGTGTCGTGGGTAATGAGGCAGTAACGGGAGATTCTGGGTGGCCACACATTTACTGTAATGCAGCTCTTAATGGTTGAAAAGCTTTAGTGGTGTCTCGGCATTTTACCACATTTTTACCGCGTTGTTGTGATTACGGCTAGTCACGGATCCCACACGTGACGAGAGACGCTTCATTTGTGGAGACGGACGGATGGATGTGAACGGGTGAAGCGGCTCTTGATGAAAACACGTCCCTCATGACAGAACTCAACGCTCGTTTAGGAGTTTAATGAGGACGAGCCTGTTTCAACCTGACTTTCATTCCCTGCTCTTCTTACGGTTCACTTCTGAGGAGTAAATGAATATAAAGTTAAAATGAAATGAAATGAGAAAAGTTGCTTTGGAAACTGGCTGTTTTTTTTAATATTTCATTTGATTTCAGTTAACATTTATTTTGTTTCAAGTAACAAAAACGTTTTTAATGGTTTTTAGTTTTAGTTCATTATAATAACTCTGCTCTGATGTCAGGTCATGTGACATGCAGGTAAAAATATTTTAAGATAAAATATTAAATTTTGTGTGTGCGTTTCATTTTGATTGTTTTTATGTTAAAATTATATATTTATTTTAATTTTACATCTGGTCAATTTCGATCAACTCATAAACCCCAGTTTGAGAAACCTTGATCTGTATTAGACTATATTACACATGTTTATAGAAAAGTGATTGAAAAAAATATATATTGAAAACATACACTACCAGACAAAAGTTATTCCAGTCTTCAGTGTCACATGATCTTCAGAAATCATTCTAATATGCTGATTTGCTGCTGAAGAAACATGTATTATTATTATTATTATTATGTTGAAAACAACAGAGTAGAATTGTTTCAGGTTTCTTTGATGAATCGAAAGTTCAGAAGAACAGCATTTATCTGAAATAGAAATCATTTGTAACATTATCACTTTATCATCACTTTTGATCAATTTAAAGCATCCTTGCTAAATAAAAATATTAATTTCTATAATTTCTTTCCCAAAAAAACTATTATACTGACTCCAAGCTTTTGAATGTAGAGTGTATAATGTTACAAAAGCTTTTTATTTCAGATAAATCTTTCTATTCATCAAAGAATCCTGAAAAAAATGTAATAATAATCAGAACAATAATAATAAATGTTTCTTGAGCAGCAAATCAGCATATTAGAATGATTTCTGAAGATCATGTGACACTGAAGACTGGAGTAATGATGCTGAAATTTCTAATCAAATAAATGCAGGCTTGGTGAGCAGAAGAGAAATCTTAAAAAAAAACATTAATAAAATCTTACTGTTCAAAAACTTTTGACTGTTAGTGTAAATGTAGTAACGTTACATTTTTTCTTTTATTTTAAAAACTTGTTACAATAATTTTTAATTTATGTAAATTGTAGTATATAAATGTAAAGGTATTATTTTAGGCACAATATAGTGTTACTCCAGATGTTAATTAATAATTCCTGATGTAATTCCAATGACGATCAGTGATGAATCCTAGAGTGCATTTGTGATTGATTATCATTATAACGGATCAGTCCGTGAGTTTGTCTTTCATAACAGCAGAAGGCCCACAGAGAGAGGAAGCAGACGGGATGCTGGTTGCCATGTCAACGTCACTGTACTGTACTGTACTGTACTGGAGTGCAGCTTCAGCAGATTGATCCTCATCTCAGCGTTTGAGAGCTGCAGGACGATTACAGTCATAGGACTGGAGCTGATGTTTGACCCGAGTTCAGATGAGTTAGCACTCATTCAAGTCAAATCATCACTGCTCCTCCACCAGTTCCCCGGTGTCTGGATGTTCCTGTGAAGTCAATGAAAACATAATTCTCTCACCGTTTAATGATCCTTGTGCTGCTCTGAACCCGTATGACTTTATTCGTTTCACAGCGCCGTTGTTTCAGGTTGATATCTCTGCGGTTTGTAAATATGTGAGAACATTCTGGTGTCATTTGTTTCTCAGGAACCTGCTGTCTGTCTCCTCATGTGTTCAGTAAAGCAGCTGTGTTTCCTCCAGTGCTTCCAGTGAAGCATCGTCTGCTGTCCTGATCATTTCTGATGTCATTTCATAGTATTTTACTGTTTGTCGAGATGAAATTAAATGCTTTAAAGTTTCAAAAAGACACAGATGTTCCATAAAAGTATGATTAAAAAAGCAAGCATAAATGTGGAAGATGAGCTTCTCTGTGTCTGTACTGATCTTCAGACACGGACGGGTGATTCGTCTGGTCTGAATCTGACTGAAGCTCTTCTGCATTATTCTGCCTGAAGCTTTTCTTCCACATACCTTAATAATGTATGGAAGCTTTTAGTGGCCCACTTTAAGAGCATCATTGGATTACAGAAAAAGATACAACAAATAAAACGTCTTTGACATTCGATACAGACACTTGATGTGTGTTGACATGTAAGACGCTCCGTTTTACACGTGATGTGACACTCTTGTCAGTTCATGCAGCTGAAGACCTCAGTGCTTAAATAACCCAGAAACAAGCGCTGAACTAAGCCAGGAACAATCACTTAACTAACCTGGAACCTACCGCTTAACCAACCCGGAAACAAGTGTTTAACTAACAATCACAATCACTTAACTAACCTGGAAACAAGCCTTAACTCACCCAGAAACAAGTGCTTAACCAACCCGGAAACAAGCGTTTAACTACCCGGAAACAAGCGTTTAACTAACCCGGAAACAATAGCTTAACCAATCCGGAAACAAGCGCTTAACTAACCCAGGAACAATCACTTAACTAACCTGTAAACGAGCGCTTAACTAACCCAAAAACAATCACTTAACCAATCCGGAAACAAATGCTTAACTAACCCAGGAACAATCACTTAACTAACCTGTAAACGAGCGCTTAACTAACCCAAAAACAATCACTTAACCAATCCGGAAACAAATGCTTAACTAACCCAGGAACAATCACTTAACTAACCTGGAAACAAGCGCTTAACTGACCCGGAAACAAGCGCTTAACCGACCCGGAAACAAGCGCTTAACCGACCCGGAAACAAGCGCTTAACTAACCACCCACAACCATAACGGCACAAATAGTGATGTTCTTACTCAGTATCAGTGTCATTTTAGTGTCATTGAGATACTAATATGTTTTTTTAGAGTTTTATAATATTTTTAATTAGGTTTTATTTTGATATTTTCTGCTTTCATATTAACTGTAAAGTTGTAGTAATTTTGTTGTTTTTGTCTTTTTTAATCCGTTTTTGTTGTTTTTAAATGTCTATATAATTTATATATATTTATAGAATGCATTTCACCTCTGCTCTAGCTTGTTTACCCGGAAACAAGCGCATAACTGACCCGGAAACAAGCGCTTAACTGACCCGGAAACAAGCACTTAACTGACCCGGAAACAAGCGCTTAACCGACCTGGAAACAAATGCTTAACCGACCCGGAAACAAGCGCTTAACTAACCACCCACAACCATAACGGCACAAATAGTGATGTTCTTACTCAGTATCAGTGTCATTTTAGTGTCATTGAGATACTAATATGTTTTTTTAGAGTTTTATAATATTTTTAATTAGGTTTTATTTTGATATTTTCTGCTTTCATATTAACTGTAAAGTTGTAGTAATTTTGTTGTTTTTGTCTTTTTTTAATCAGTTTTTGTTGTTTTTAAATGTCTATATAATTTATATATATTTATAGAATGCATTTCTCCTCTGCTCTAGCTTGTTTACTAATCTAGTTTTTACTAATCCTGTCATTGTGTTTTATGAATGCTGTGATTCTCTGACAAATTGCTTGTGATATTTCTTTATTTGTAAGTTGCTTGGATAAAAGTGCTGAATGAATATATGTAGATGTAAGACTGAGCACATCAAACTCACTGTATCCCAGCATGTATGATGTGATGTGATGACTGCTGACGGGATTGATGTGATGTGATGAGGTCTGTAGATGAGCTCAGAGCTTCTGATGATGATGAAGAAGGTTGTGTTTGTGTTGGCAGTGCTGAAGCTCACGCATCTCACTGCATCATTAATGAATGCAAACATGCTGTTCTACATTGTTTGATTTGTCTTGTCGGAGACATTCATTCGTCTGTTGTGAGTCTGAAGTGTCTCAGTGTTTTGTTCAGTAGTTTGATTGGTTCTCTGTGTTTCTCTCAGTCTTCATCATCCAGGCGTCTTCGCTTCAGTTCTCCGAAGAGCCCCAGTCTCAGGATGCGTTACACGGCCGCAGTGCAATCCTGCGCTGTGAGCTCAGCGGCCCGGCGGACATGCGGTTCTGGTGGACGCAGGACGGCCGGCGTGTGGACGACTCGGACTGGCGCTTTCAGGAGGGCAGTAACCTGAAGTTCACCGCGGTGGACCGTCACGCAGACACGGGCAGCTTCCAGTGTGTGGCGTCCAGCAGCTCCACCGGAGAGACCGTGAGCTCCGCCAGCGCCTCCTTCAACATCAAATGTGAGCAGAGCTTCAGCTGCGAGTGTGTGTGTCTCTGGAAACGAGACGTCACGGCTCTTCAGAAGTCACATTTCAAATCATCTTTCTGTCATTCCCTCTCTCTCTCTCTCTCAGTCAAATTTTAGTCATGCTGCATAATGGTTAACAATTAATGCACAATTACTTTGCTCAAAATTATAATCACAACTACTGAACAGATTTATTTCTAGATTTTTCTTCTCTTTTTTGTTGAAGAAAATAGAGATACGGAGAGTTTTTGTTTTTTATTTTAGTGATGGTTGTGGATGTTGTTGTGTGTCCTCAGGGCTGGAGAGGGGGCCGGTCACCATGAATGAACCCGCCTCAGAGGCGGAGCTAGAGGAGGCTGAGCGAATCGTGCTGCAGTGTCACATTGATGGACATCCACGGTGAGTCCAGCCTCGGATTGGACAGTTAAGATGAGTTTGATCCTCACACAGAACACCTGGAATATAATGCCATATGAACTGTGAATCATGTAGATTACTATTTGTGACGAGTGGGGGCGGGGCCGAGAGCCGTGGGAACGGAGCGAGGCCGGTGGAGTAATTGATAATGAGCGACACCTGCACCACTCACCGGTCTCGAGTCTCACGGTGGAGCTCCGGAAGGATAAAAAGGAGGAGTGACGACAGTGCAAGACGAGAGAGGACCAGGCCTGGACTTTATTTTGTGTTTTGGTTTTGTTTGTGCGCGACAGTCGTCCGCGAGGGGCTGTCGCACTGTTTTGTGTTTATTTTATTAAAGTTTTGTTTAAATGTCCGCCGGTTCCCGCCTCCTTCTTCCCGTGACTACGAACTTTGTTACAGGGCTGTCGCGCTATTTTGTGTTTATTTTATTATTAAAGTTTCCTTTGAATGTTCGCCGGTTCCCGCCTCCTTCCATCGTTCCAGCACCACCGCCTCGGGCAGCCACCAACGGCCTCTCCGCTTGTTCCTGCTGCCCGATCTCCTCAGCACCGCAATCCCCCTCAGCAGCGAGGGCTCTCTGACAGCGTGTCCCTCCTGTCACACTGTTGATGACACGAAATACAAAAATGCTAAAAGGTAATTGCGACTTTATATCTCACAATTCTGAGTTTATATTTTGCAATTCTGACTTTTTTCACAATTCTGTGTTTATATCTTGCAACTCTAACTTTTTGTTCTGGCAATTCTGAATTTATATCTTGCAAAATCAGAATTGTGAGATAAAAAGTATTGTTTTATTCCATGGCAGAAACTGTCTTCTATAGGTTACAGACGTGCTTCTGATCATACTCTGCTGACTGTCGCTGTGTGAAAAGATGTTTCTGACCTGTACAGGCCGAGCAGTAAATGGTTCAAAGATGGAGATCAGCTGGACAGAAAGGACAGGATCCTCATGCTGACCAACCTCAGCACAGGCGATTCTGGGATATACTCCTGCTGTGCTCAAAATGCTGCAGGAAAAGTGTGCAGTAACCACAACATCACCCTCAATATCATCGGTAAGATTATTAGAGGTAAACAGACACAAGCTCAGGTTCTTCTAGATTAGATTCGTCCTTTAGATTCTATTAGAGTTTCAGAGTGAGCATGTTTAGTTTAAGTTTTTAGATGTGTGAGAAGACGTGCCGTCTATGTAGACTGCATGAGCGTGTCATTGATGCCCAGGCATGCAGGTTTTATTGTGTGTGTTCTGTAATGTTTGTCACCTCATGTGCGCAGCTAAACAGAAATGTCTGAAGCGTAACCCAACACCTCGGTCGGCCTGCCCATCAGCCACCTGTGCTGCTTACGCACACACCTGCAGACAGAATAAAAGCTCTGCTGAAGAATAAAGAGATCAGCTAGAGCATGAAAATTACAAATGAAAGGAGAGAGCGAGAGGAGCGAGGATAAAGAGCTTTAGCAGAAGAATACTGGGCGGCAGTGAGAGTGAGAGTTTACACACACAGACAGACCTGAACATGTCTGTCTGATCCTAGAGCGTGTCTGTCTGATCTACAGTATGTCTGATCTAGAGCGTGTCTGTCTGATCTAGAGTGTGTCTGTCTGATCCTAGAGCTTGGCTATCTGATCTAGAGCGTGTCTGTGTGATCCTAGAGCATGTCTATCTGATCTACAGCGTGTCTATCTGATCTAGAGCGTGTCTGTCTGATCCTAGAGCGTGGCTATCTGATCCTAGAGCGCGTCTGTCTGATCCTAGAGCGCGTCTATATGATCTAGAGTGTTTCTGTCTGATCCTAGAGCGCGTCTGTCTGATCCTAGAGCGCGTCTATCTGATCTAGAGCGCGTCTATCTGATCTAGAGCGCGTCTATCTGATCTAGAGCGCGTCTGTCTGATCTAGAGCGCGTCTGTCTGATCCTAGAGCGTGTCGGTCT